TTCTTGGAGAAAGTCCAGAATGAGAGAGACTGAAGGTTTTAAGAAATAATGTCATTTTGCCATGGCCTAATCCCTAAAGATGTCCCATATTTTGTTGGTAGTATGAGGATTGATGATTTTCTTGACTTTAGTAAAATTTAAATCATCAAAGGAGAAAGACCTGAGTCTTCTTTTTAAGAACCAAGCACTCAGATTGAGAGTGTGAGGATCTGGATGGACTTCTGGACCTTGCAAGAGGAAGTCCCATCTCAGAAGGAGAGTGGTGGTGCTAGACTCAATCAGAGAAGGAAAGGATACCAAGGTCTTCTTTGCCAAATAGGTATTATTGCAATAACCATTGGTGGAAACACATATGCTAGATCAAAATTCCATTCTTGGGGGAATGCATCCACCTGATGGTCCTGCCATCTTGAGAAGAATTTTGGGACTTGAGAGTTCTTGTATGATGCCATGAGGTCGTTCGGATTCCATTATCCTGGGTCTATGTGGGATCAGCTTAACAAGTCTGCTAGTTGATTTTATTTCCCAGGAAGGAAGACTGCCTTCAGTCGCTGAAGATGGTTCTGAGCCCATGTCATTATTGGTTGGAGTTCGAACAGTAAACTATTGCTTTTCGTTCCTATCTGATGGCTAACAATGTTACTGACCTGTTGTCGGTTTTTATCAAAACCCACTTGTTCTGTAAGTGGTCTGAGAACGACATCAGAGCTTTGAAAACTGTTCTTAGTTCCAGAATGTTTGAGTAGAGATAAATATTGTTCTTGCTTCAGATTCCTTGGGCTATCAGGTCATTGAAGTGAGCTGCCCAGTCCTTGTAGCTGGCATCCGTAGTTTTGATCTCCCACATTGGTTCTTCCATAGCAAATCCTCTGCCTAGGTTTTAATTCTGTAGCCACCATCTTAAACAAAGTTTGAGTTCCTGTGGAATTACTATAACTTCACCCCAGTCTTGCTTCTTCTTGTTAAATTGTTTGAGAAAGCTTGTCTGTGCAGGTCGGACATGCCAATGAGCCCCTCTTACTAAGCGTATAGTAGATGTGAGGGATCCCAAGGTATTCCCTTGCTGTTGAAAATATCTTCTGGGTTCTCTCTCGAATCCTGCTTTGTCTGTCCCAGGACAGAGTAATTGTTGCATCCGATGTGTCTAATACTGTTCCCAGAAACACCAGTATCTTTGATGGTTTTAAGCGGATTTTTCTCTTGTATATTAATGATCCAAACCTCTTTATGACTGTAACCACTTTTTGTGTATTCATCCATGACATTAGGTGATCTTGAGCCACTATCAGAAGATCGTCCAAGTAATGGAATACTTGAATTCCCCTGTCTACTGAGAACTGTGATGACAGTAACTAGAACCTTGTAAAAGGTTCTTGGAGCAAGACTCTGGCCAAAAGGAAGACCCTGGAATTGAAAATGCCTTTCCAGAACAAAGAATCCGAGGAACTTCTGGTGTGTCAGGTGTATTGGGATATGGTAATATGCATCTTGCAAAATTACTGAAATTATCTACTAACCCGAAAGGCACGATCTTTGTTTGTCCTACGTTTCCAAGATGGGTAGGAATGTCTTCTGTATGACTGAGTTAGAAATGCTTTCTTTCCTTCTGCTGCCTTTTGTATAGCTTGGTCCAGGATTTTCCCAAAAAAGACATCACCCTGAAAAGGTAATGCTCATAAATTTGCTTTGGATGCATAATCAGCACCCCATGCATGCAGCCATAAGGTTCCTCTAGAAGCCACACTTAGAGCTAGTCTCTTGTCCAAGATTTCTAGTTATATCCAGAGAAGCTTCTAATGTCAAATCTGTGGCTAATCTGAGATGCTTCAGCGACTCAAGGAGATTATCTCTACTAACCCTGCTGGTGATCTCTTCCTCTAGGTTGTTAACCCAGACCTTCAGAGCTCCAGAGACTGAAACCATTGCCACTGCAGGATGGAGGCTAAAACCAATGGGCAAGTAGCCTTAAACAAGATCAGAATCTAGACTTTTCTACATTGCCGTGCTATCAATTGTTAATGTGGTTCTTTTAGCTATGCTAACCACTGCTGCATCAATCTTTGGAATAAAATTCCAAGCTTTACATTCCTTAGTGTTAAATGGATAAACCTTAGGAATCATCCCTTCTCTGGTTTATTCCATTCTTCCTGTATAATGACTTTTACAAAAGTGTGCAGAGCAAATGAAGGCTTAGAACAGGGATCCTCAAACTCCGGCCCCCCAGATGTTGCTGAACGACAACTCCCACGATTCTTTGAATTACATCGATAGCCAGAGAATCATGGGAGTTGTAGTTCAGCAACATCTGGGGGGGCCAGAGTTTGAGGACCCCTGGCTTAGAAGATTTAAGGTCTTCACAGAAGATATCGGAGGCCAAAGCTTCTGGTCTCTCTTCTAGAATGTGCAGGGTATCTCTTACAAGCAACAGGAGTTTATCCACTGATCCGCAATCGATGGCTTTGATCCAAGGTTCGCTTTTTACTTCATCGTCCAGAGCCGAACTCCTAGATCCTATCACTGTCTGAAGCTGAAGATATAGTGACAAGATTTGCACCTTTATAATCTCTTGATACGGATTGGAATCCTTCAGCAATGGCGGGGGAAATCCATTGTTTCAGGTCCGTTTGCGGGGATCTCTTCCTTATATGTCTTTTGTAAACTTCCTCCATACAAATGTAGCAAATGTTCTTGCCTTCAGAGGCCTTTGAATCACAGCCCTTGCAGCGATTTGTCTCTTGCTTTTTCTTTCTGGGCGACCTCTCAGTCTATCAAAGATTAGGAAAAAAAATTTCCAAAGTTTTTGGGAAATTTTTATTACCTTATAAAAGTATAACCACAAGCTCAGGCAGCTAATTGAATCAGAAGAGAATAGAGCCGAACACCAAGTTTCTTGCTGTAACTATATTTCACACTAAAGTTTTTTTTGCCGGTAACTGTGCCTATGCATGCGCTGAAACTAATCACATGCCTCCCTAACCGCGGCAGCCCTGAGATTAGAAGTAAAAATAACTCCAGAGCCCCCTGTCATTGCGGCTGGGAGCCGAAAACAACAGGGGAGAACTCTCTCCCAAACGGAAAGCAGGAATGAAGGCAGAATAGGTCTTAAAGAATTCCAAAATATAAGTAACTTAAAGTATCCCACGCTGCATGCTCTCACCCTGATAAGAAACCTGAACCAGTTAGTCCTGCCCAGACAGGCTTTTTACTGAAAAGAAAGGTATTAGATGAAATCCAATAGGTACCAGGAGTAGTTATGGTGCATAAGATGTTGCTTTAAGAGATACAAAAAAAAAAAAAAAAAAGAAAGAAAGAAGTGAATTGTAATAGTTACAATAAAACTAAAATAGTCCCAATAGAACTATTGTATTAATTGCTACATAGTTTCATATCCATGTGGAGTCATTATTCAAAGACTGAGATTAAAATATAAAAACTTTGTTTCTACTATTGGGACTATTATAGTTTTATTGGAACGATTACAATTCATTGATTTTCTTGTATCTCTTAAAGCAACATCTTATGCACCATAACTACTCATGGTAACTATTAGATTTAATCTAACACCTTTATTTTCTGTTTATTCTGGCTTTTTAGTGGGGACCGGTGTTTCCAATTGAGTAGTATCATTGCGATTGTCTATTCTTATCTGAGGATTTTCTTCTCGTACTTAGGCTTTTTACTGGTTCCTTCAGGGGAGAGAGGTTGTACTCCCCTGGTTGCATGTGAGACCTAATAATAAAATAAAGAATCAGTTATACAGGTGCATGAACATCCCCTGCCTGTCAGTTAGGACAAGTAAAAGAAAATTGTAGAGCTCAGGGGGGAGGGGGGCCTTTATGGAGTAAGTTAATTGATTAATCAATTAATTATTCAATTAATTATTCCTGTCCTGACAGCTAGGGGAGAGATTTATTCATAAGTAATGCTGCAATGTTTAGCCTGGAAATATCTGTATTTATAGCATTTCATACTAAAACACTGCATATTCATCTCTGCAAAATAGTGAAGTGGTCAGTGTCTCTCTAAATATCCCTAGTATTTCTAAAAATTGCTCAGCCAAATTTAAATATTAACAACCAGACAATGTTTAGAATTTTTGCAGCACCATATCAAAATTAAATAGGATGAGCTGTTAAAGTAAATCCACACTGTCATGCTTATCCAGATATTTCCAAATGTTATTACTTCATAACGGAGCACCTATTGTTCACTTAACTTGTATCATTATTAGATTAAACCAGGCTTCCCCAAAACTTCTGTTGAGATTTTATATGGTTCAAGTTATTTCAGTGTTTGTCAGAAAACATTTCATAAGGTTAATGAGACTTAAAGGGATACTCTAAACATAAATCACTACAGCTCATTATTTGACGCCAGCATGCCCCTGTGCTGTTCGCCTAGTTGTATTAAACTGTCTGAGCAGTTTGACACACACAGTGTGCCAAGGGTACCCATGTTTTACATAATTATACTGCAGAAGTTACACTTTCTTACAACCCAATTTAATATTCAGTAAATTTGGATGGAATTCATTGGCTGAGCATTTGAGGATGGAACGTATATTACCAATATGAAAATTTTACTTCCACAGTACTAATAGGTCAAATGAGTAGCTGGGTCACAATTGTCCAGGTAACACTAAGTTAGCGTCAAACATTTCCTACCAGGGTTAGGGTTGTAAAAAAAAAAAAACCCAAAAAACAAACACACAAAAACCTGATTCTAAATGGCACCATGAAGCACTAGGTAAGTGGCCTACCACACAGTGGCAAAGGCTAAGACTTTGGCTTTCACGGGGGTAAACGCAATACGGAAGGCCAATCTTTGACCCACATGGGTCCTAGAATGTACACGTTATAACGGCCATGTTGACATTTATATTCACAAACAGATCTTGAATGATCCAGTCAGAGGAAATTAAATAAAAAAAAAAATAAAAAAAAAATAAAAAGAACGAATAACATCAACAAGAAACGTCTGACACCAATATTTTTAATATATTTTTTTTTTTTTTTTACTTAAGTCTATACTTTTTTACAATAAATAGATAAAAAAAGTGTAAAAATGACTTTAAAATATATAGAGGGTAACTTAAAAAAAAGACAGGAGATGTATAAAAGGATGTTTTATAAAGTGTTAGTAAGAGTTACTACACCTTGCACTTCAACAACATGGTATTAAAAAAGTAAAATAAAAATAATAAGTCTAACCTGCCTGTATTACATCTGTACAATAATATCAGGACTGTAACATGTGCTCCACAGCACATAAACTTATAGAGAAATACAGCACGTCAGGCAAAAAACAAAACCTACAAGTGCTCTTTGGAGAGACAGCATGCATTTTCTTTTCTAAATTGCTTATTTACACTAAGCCATATATTTGCAGGTCGTAAAAAAAAAAAATTTAAAAAATTTCATTGGGACTATACAGTAAACATTAAAAATGAGTAAAAAAAAAAAAAAAATAGAGGTCAACTTCAGACTATGTATGTGTAGTCATGGTATGGAGCAGTTTAAAATTTGTTGGGCTGTAATAGAAAGCTGAAATTTGGCATGCTAAATTTGTATGCTTTTGACAAAAATCGCTACATGTACAAACCTTGTGCGAAAGCTTTTGCCTGTTACAATACTCAACATATCATTTCAAAACGATCATTTGATCAAACATTTTCATGTACACCCAGAATTAATTTTTGTCATGTGGGAAGAGTCTGAAAACAAACTTCGAAAAAGTAAAAATTATAGAAACATTTGAAGTTTGTGTCTCCTCAGTGCAAAATTAAACAGTCTTAATGGTAAATATGTAAACTGCATACATTTGGTCTCTGCTTGTTTTATACATGGCTCTATTGAACATCCACTGAATACACACTTTGCATCACACACTTAAATGACACCTGCAGGTTAGTAAAATATGGTTTAAAAGTGTGTGTGGGGTAAAATGCTTGGAGATACCACAGCAATCACAGATTAAACAGCACCTTATTGCTGAGAATTACACACGCTGATATTACATGGTGAAAGCAGCGCAAAGCTGCTGAAATGCAAATCCTTGATGGCAAGGTTGTAACCCATTTGTTTCACAAAGTTTTAAAGGTTTTCTAGCTTTCAAAAAGGTAGAGACTTCGTATACGAAGAGAAGTGAATTGCTGGCAGTGTCCTTATTCCTGTCACATACAAATAGTCCAAAGTGCCTTCGTTTTCCTTATTCATAAAAACACAAGGGCTTGCCCTTCTGATTCTTTGGCAGAGATATTAAGAGGCAACTCCACCTTTATGGCACAATATGCAGCTGAAAATATGGCCGCACTCGACATTTCCTATGTACAGTACAGTTCAACGGTCTGTAAAAGTTTACAGACTCAGTCCCATAGCTGTTCAGGCTACGCATCCAACTGCTTGCTGCTTTCAGATTTTTGATCAAGCCGGCTTCGATTGCTTTTTACCATGTAGATGAAATATGCCAACGTTTCCTTCTCATTCACTGGAATGTTTCGGAAGTGTCGACTCACTGTCTATTGAAAGAAAGGAGACATTTATTTATGTGGAATTAATTAGGCATGGATATTTGGGGTGAGTTATCAACACGAATTAGGGTTAAACAGGCCAAGTGAAATCACACATCTCATACAGCACCATCTAAATGTTTCTTCAGGATGCAAGTTGTATTTTCTTCAGAAACTGTGCACCACAGTAAACTTATTAAATACACATTCAAGTTCATGGAAGCTGGGGACAATTTCCTTTCTTCACTGTGAAGAATATCAGTTTATATTTAAGTAAAAATAGACACTTTAAAAACCATAACCACTACAAGCATGATGCAGTTGCTATAGTGTTAGGAGTCCCCTAGCACAGCCCAACAATAGTAAAGTGTCTAGAAGTTTAAGAATGGATCATTTAATAACAACACTTAAATGTGTTTAATATTTGTGGATAAAACGTTTCCAATAAATTAATCTACAGAAGTCACAATTAAAGGAACACTATAGGGTCACAAACATGTATTCCTGACCCTATAGTGTTAAAACGACCATATAGGTTTTCCCCCACCCCCGAATATAGTAAAATCTTTCGGTCTAATGTTAATTCTGTGCAACCTTTATAAGAATAAGTCATTGACTGAGAGGAGTCACATGGTGCTCTCAGTCAATGAATTGCAATTGTTGCCTTATTCAGCTTCTGCAGCAACTGAAAGCACTGGTGTACCAGGGAACATAAAACCGGGGCTCCAGGTAATGGGGCAAACCAGACCAGGGTACTCCTAGCATCATAACTATTACAGTGGCCTGTAGTGGATATGATGCTTGGAGTAACCTTTTAAGATAAAGGAGGTAAAATAACCCTGTTTTATTCAATTATCAATTTTGAAGGAACACTATAGTAACCAGAACCATCACAGACTACAGTCCCTGCAAGCCTTTTAATGTAAACAATACCTTTTCAAAAGAAAAGGCAGTGTTTACATTGCTGGCTAGTTACATCTCTAATGATTCAACAGCCTCTTGATTGATGATCTCAGCCACTGAGGCAGAGCTAGACGCGGCGAAATCGGCACTGCATCAGAGAAAAGGTGAGTAAAGACATCTTTCAAGTGAGATGCAAAAGGAGGCAGGGATCGAATTAAACACTATACTGTCAGGAATACAGATTTGTATTTAGTGCTCCTTTCATTGTGAGAGATTAGAGAGTTTTGCCATCAAGAATGGTGATCCCTGCTACAGTGCTTGCGCTTTCCATGCCAAACATACCTCTGCAAGTTGTGCCTTGTTGAGTCCTGGCCGAGTTTGTAGTTTATAATGCCGTTTATATCTGCGCAGCGTGTTTACTTGGAGTTGAAATAGGTCAACCTACAGGAAGAAGAATGTGCGGCTTTAGTAATTCTATTTATTCAATGAGCCTATGTAAACAAAATTTCATGGCGCATACTATACGGTATTATTGAAACTAAGGTTGCTTATCCCTTAAAAGTATGGCCGTGATTTCAAATACTATTGTACATTTAACCAATGCAGAAAAAAAATAAAAAAAATAAATTAATGCACATTCAATATAAAAATAAGAAAAAAATTCCCAGTTAATGCTAACTAGTAAGGTAGTTGAGAATGAAGTGAATTTGAAGTGAGTTGTAAAGCAAATCTTCCAACGGAATGTATGCTTTTTATGCATACAATTACAGATCATTTCAATTCTAGGTGTATAAACATTTTGTCAATCCAGGACTTTATATTTTAAGTCCTATGCTGCTAGCCAGGCTTTAAAAAAAAGTTACTCACCAATGCAAGCCTGGAGAGCTTATTGAGCCCTCACAAGGGTGAATTTCTACTAGCCAGGGCTAAACTTTCACTTGCCAATGAAGAGTGGAAAAATGTATCTGCTGGGATTAATTTCAACTATCTAGAGGCATTGATTTAAATTCTGTACAATAACTGCCTGTGACTTTACTGATTTTGTTATTATTTAAAAAAGCGCCAACATATTTTCTAGCACTTTACAGTAATAGAATGTGGATAATTGACAAGTAGTTAACATACAAAATATTAACAGAGATAGGAGGTTAAGAAGACCTTGCCCTAGCGAGCTTACATTGTGTGATTTGGAGTAGACCATGCTCCTTGCCATTCAAAAAAGGCAATTTCAGTACATCAGGTAGGGTACTACAGTGCAAAAATGGTTGACATTGAGTCTATCCAGTATACAGATATTCCAAAATCTGATGGATGCATATATAGAAACACTACACATTTAGAGAGTTTCTTGTGATAAGGTGCTTATGACATCTGATATAACGGATTGATAAAACCAAATAGATTTCTCCTCCCCAAAACCTTTGGAATATGAACGCAGGAATTTTCAGGAGTTCACAGTAAGTTTTAATTTGCTTAGCATTTTAAGTTCTGCACACTATATAGGAAACATTAACACGGAACCCATAGCTTAAAGGACACATTTTGGACTATTTCAAAATACTCCAACTACAGTTGTATCTATATAATAAAATGCAGGAGGGGGAGGTTGGGGATGGAGTTGGAGAAGTAGCTGCTTTAGTTCTGTGTGTCGGCAGGGGACTTTTAATATAATGCACCCAAACACCTGTCAGTGAGAATGGTAGCTTTACAGCTGCAAGGATATTTGCATATTGATGCAGTTATATCCACTAACGCAGAAACGGAGTATATTCATAACCTATTCAAAGAAAATAGCTCTTTATGTTGTTTAACCCCTTAAGGACCGAGGACGGTTCAGGACCGTCATCGGCATTTTTGCGTTGCCGACCGATGACGGTCCTGAACCGTCCTAACGGTCAGAGCTACTTACCTGATCGCTGTCGTTCCCCCGGCGGCGATCAGCATGGCTCCGGTTGTGGGGAGACTGCCTGCAGCCCAGGCAGTCTCCCCACGGCAGATTAGGACCCCTGTGGCCATGTGATCGCTTAACACAGCGATCACATGGTCACAATAGGTGTCCATAGTGCTGCCTGCAGGGGGGCTGCCTGTACTGACAGGCAGTCTCCCTGCATGTGTAAAATCAAAAAATAAATTAAAGTTAGTGTTAATAAAAAAAATAAAAATAATTATATATGTGTATATATGATATATAGACATATATTATACCTGTTCTAGATGATTTACTGCAAACCAATTAGTTTGAATGACTATCTGTTCCTGTCCAAATTAAAGATAATAAAGTTGCGTGCACGCAGAAGTAAATTCACACTGAGACACAAGGTTCAGGGTAATGAAAGAACTTCAGAGAAGTTTAATGGCTTCTGACAGAAAATGGATGCGCAGACCCTTTTAAAGGCATTATTACATCATTGAAGAAAATCAAGATATAGACAAATAGACATTGTTAATTGGCTTAGGTGCTAAGATGTTAGTAAAATGCCCTCCCCATTCTTAGGTCACTATCTACGTAATTTCTTAACTCCTACAGGTCTTAGCGCCATTTTGCTAAAATGAGGAGCTCACTCGACGGGAGGGGCCTTTTGGCAGCTATCCATTTGGAGCGTAGCTGGCACTTGTTAGTTTCTCAAGGTTAGGTTTCAAGGCTTTTAGTAAATACACATTTTATCAAAGCTATTTCTTGCTGACATGCAAATTCTATGTTCTATAGACAAAGCTTCCTTGTAAAACTATGGGGCCTCTTAGAGGTATAGCAAGAGGATTTAAAGGGGCCTTACAAATTTATAGAGGCCTAATAATTCTACAACAGTCCCCCCTAAAATGTTATTTGCTAAAAGACAAAACTTTATTTGTTAGTATCAGAAGAAGTATTAGCCCAAAGACACAGAAACCCCATGACCGCTGACTTAGTGTTAATGCAAAGTGCAAGTCTATCCCTCTCTTGACCCTAACAGGCTGCAGCACATCCGTCAGTACGGTTCAGGAACACTCTTCACTCCGCTGGTAACCCATAGTGGCTTATCCACTACTTCTCCGTACGGCAGTCTACCCATAAAGACGGACGCTGTCCCTGTACTGTCCCTTCCTAGACTTTCTGCACTTCATCAGTATAAGGGAGAGTTTGTAGCGGAATACAGGGTGAGATGAGGTCTTGATCATCGATTGTCAGATGAGTGAAGGTTGGTGTTGCTTGGTCTACAGTTTTCTGCAGGAATTTCCTTAGGCATGGGAGGACACAACAAATGAGAAGAGCGAGAATAAAAAGAAAAATTAGTAAGGCAATACCAATCTGGACTAAAGCTCTCTGCCAACCAGTCATCCAACCAAACCATTTTTCCCAGGGATCAGTAACTCCAGAGTGTCTCTTTAACTCTTCTGAGAGTCTGTTTAATTTAGCTATGGCCAGAGTGACTTTACCATTAGGACCTGTGTTTTCTGGAATGTAAGTGCAACAAGTCATAGTGTCGGGTAGTATTTTACAGACCCCCCCTTTTTCGGCTAAGATCATGTCTAAGGCCAGTCTGTTCTGGAAGGTCATTTGGGATGTGGCCTGTAATTGCTCGGCCAAGCCCTGGAGGGCATCCCTGGTGTAGTTCACGAAGCGCTGTTGGTTGTAATAGATTTAATTAATCCAATTAAGGTTTTTGTTGGCAGTGACTATGGTAAAAAGTGATTCAAAACCTACAGCTACTTCATCTCTAGCTTTAAATTCATTGGGTACCCCCCTAGGCACCCCAATGGCATCTATGTAAATGTGGGGGTCAAAACTGCCTTTTACTGGGGTTTCGCGCCTTACTCTGGCTGATGTATGTGGAGGGTCGTATGTGTCATGATGATTATCAGAAATAATATGAATGGGCATGATAACTTTGGCCAGGGTACACTCACCCCACCACTCAGTTTCCAGCCTAGATCTTAACTGTAGATCCCCACATAACCAGTAAATATCCCCCAATGACCTGGTATGGTGTTGCAACAGGCGTATAGGAACAGTTCTGTAAGTGGCGCAATAACCTTTAGAAAAGTTACCCATGAATTTACCAATCCCGTCATACATGGCATAACAAGTGTAATTACCTCTATAGACTGTGACTCCATCTGGTGGCTTAACATTTTCAACTAAGAGAGGGTATTCTGCCGTCCATGCCATGCAGAGGGACCTATTAAAGTCATATTGGTAGGCAAAAAGGCTTAAGAAGCAATCTTCTATCTCTAAAGGGAGAGTTAGGGGGACGGTGCCAAGGTGGGGTCGGGCACCGCCACATACATAACATGCTGTTTTATTATGTTTGTTGGCATTATACCTCATCCATTCTAACCACAAATTAATGTCATTGAATCCAGTTTCAGCGGCCATGGTATCTTCAAAAGTGGGGTTAGCGATGGCCATCATATCTTTAAAGGACTGGATATGTGGTTTTAGCGGATTTGGGACCATATGATCAGCCCCTTGCCACTCTGGAGAGTGGTACATATCTCTGAGGTAGAAATGACCTAATTTGTTGTAGGAACCTTTCTTCCAATACATTCCCATTACATATCGGTCTGCATCCTCGGGGCCAGGATGTTCAATATTTAACATTAATTTCATAGGGGTACTTCCTCCAGGCTTTCTTAAAGTCATTCTTTGAAGGAGGGATCTACCCTGATTGTCTATCTTAGATAAAGCACTTTTGGGTTTGTAACCCCAGGCAGGCCCAGTATTCCATCCCGCAGCCCCCCAGTAGTTACAGTCACAACCCCATTGTTCATCTACTACACAAACGTAAGGGTCTTTTGCTTGTGGTATATCTTTATAAATGGCTTGAATCTGTGACTTAGGGAATGGGCACTCTACAATATCACAGTAATCAAAAGTGAATGTAGCCACATGGGTACATGATGAATTATACCAGAAAGTGTACCCACTAGCATCTTTGGTGATGGCCACCTGCTGGGCTTTAAGGAGGCCAACTAAGGAGATAATGTACCAGAGGCACATGGTTGCATAGAGTTAGCTTCCTCTGGGGCAGGTGTCTTCTTGCAGTGGGAAGCGTGGATCCAGTTAGGCCTTCCGGCCAATTTGACAGAGGTAGGGGAGATCAGGAGAACTTGGAACGGTCCGTCAAATCTTGGTTCCAGGGTGTGTTTTCGCACAAATTTCTTGACCAGAACCCAGTCACCGGGGAGCAGACTGTGGTTGCCTGTGTCAGAATCAGGATCTGGAATTTTAGAGAAAACTTGGACATGGATTTTGTTCAAAGCATTTGCGAGTTCAGTTACATAATCTACTAAAACATCAGTTTGAAGTTGTAGTTGTTGGGGAAAATAGCAACCTAGCCTAGGTGCAGTCCCAAATAGAATCTCGTATGGGGACAATGAGGTAGTATTTTTGTACAAGAGCATTCATTAGATCTTTTTGATAAATGTGCAGGTCTGTGTGTCCATTGTACGACTGCTGGGTACAAATTCTTAGGGAGGCAGAAATTGAGGTTGTTGGAGTACACTCCATCCTTCAGAACTGCCCCTTTCTGTTTCCACTTCTGTATTTCTTCAGGGGCAACTGTAGCCTGTTGTTCCCGCAGGATTTTCAGGTCAGTTGGAAGAGTCTGCAGAGTAAATATGGGAGTTTCTTCATTTCCGGACACTCTTCTTTCCACTTCCTGTGGTTCTTTTGCAGCTTGTTTTGCAGCCTGATCAGCTAGATGGTTGCCCTTTGCTTCATCTGAGTCCAACTTCCCATGTGCTTTTATCTTCAAAATAGCCACTTCTTCTGGGAGTAGGAGGGCGTCCATCAGCTCCTTGATTGCGGAACCGTGCTTGATTGGTGTACCGGCGGTGGTAAGAAATCCTCTTGTTTTCCAAATTAATCCGAAGTCGTGAGCCACGCCCAGTGCATATCTTGAATCCGTGTAGATATTGGCGCGCTTTCCTTCAGAGATCTTGCATGCTGAAGTCAGGGCTTGCAATTCAGCTTCTTGTGCAGACATAGTTGATGGTAAAGATGATGATTTGACAATTTCATCTGTTGTGGTTACGGCATATCCTGTATGGTATCTTCCTTCTTCATCAGCATATCTTGAGCCGTCCACAAACAGGGTGAGATCGGGATCTACCAATGGGTCTTCATGTACAGTTGGTAGATGTGTTGTTTCCATT